TTCATAGTCCGGTCCGAGTGCTTCGTAGAGGTGTTCTGGAATGTTTAAGGAGGTTCTGGTATCTGTAAAATTTCGGCAGTGTAGAAGGACGTGTTTGATAGTTAGAGCTTCTCCGCAGGWTGTRCATTGRRCAGGATCGTCGTGTCTCATGAGAAAGCTGTGTGTAAGCCACGTATGCCCGATTTTGATATATTGATTGTAGAACTATTGGTATCATGAAATAATGAAAAACAATTGTACTGTTTCTATTGTATGTTAAATAATTGAAATTGTATTTATTTTTTTAGATGGGAACTCACAGTAGTGCCACTTGTTTGCCTTATCATTCACACTCTGATTTAGCTGAGTCTTCTGTTATTTTACATGGATTTAGTGACAATACAATTTACTCACCAGCATTGTCACAATGTTTCCCAACTGTAAGTCCATATCTATTTTAGATTCTAAAAATATTTAGCTTCTTAACTGTGTTTATGTTTATCTAAACTTTAATTTAAATATATATATATATATATATAAAAGTTAATTAATTTTGCTTACTGTAAATCTGATTGATTTCATACATTTACAATATACTACTGTAACACTAATTTTGGATATTTCTTTTATCCAAATCTTGGTAACCTATTAAATAATAATTTGATAAAAGTGTTTCTTTCGGCCTTGCGTCAAAAAATCTAATACAATTATTAGTTGTTGTAGAAATTACCAATAGTAATTGATGCACATATGTTTGAACTTATAGATTCAAATACAACACAAAAATGAAATTATGACTACTCATCATTCTACTCCAGCTTTACATAATATTGGACAGTCTGTTCCAATACCATTACCAACAGGTGAATATTTATGTTTTAGTTGTAATTAAAATCGATAACATTTTAATTGGCATTTCTCTCAATTTTTAAAATGTAAAAAAAGTAGTTATAGTTTCATAACTACAATAGTTGGATATTTATATTTTCTTTAATATTGTAGAATTTTTTTGTTCTATCATCAATAGTTTCCACAGTGCATGCGATGCAAGTCATTTTATGTCTGATTTTTTTACTCGTTGGGTTACATTATTGAAATTTTAGTAGAAACTCTAATTCGTTCTAGTTATAAATATAGCCTATGTTAATCAGGAATAATGTTGCATTCTGATGATGAAAGAATTTTTGAAATTGATCCAGTAGATTTTGAGTTAATTCGTTACAAACATACAAAAATACGAATCGTTTTTCTTTATAATATTATTATTATAGATAACTAATATATATAATAGATGATGATATTAAAATCTTCAGCATTCAAATTTGTTTTTGATCAGGTGGAGGTGAAGAACTTCCTTTACCACCAGGTTGGTCAGTAGACTTAACGTTAAGAGGTCGTAAGTATTTTATCGACCACAATACCAAAACTACTCATTGGTCACATCCTTTAGAAAAAGAAGGTCTTCCTACTGGATGGGAACGTATTGAAAGCGATGAGTATGGAGTATATTTTGTTAAGTAAGTAAAAACTAAAATTGTAATATTTAGATTTAATCAATTTAGTGTTTTTTAAGTTATAAATATATGGTATAACAACCATAAATTATATAAAATCTAAAAAATATTTAGTATAATTTATGTTTTAAATATTTTATACCTAATAATGCACTGGACATTATTAATATTGTTTGTTGATTCATGTTGTAGTATTTTAAACCATTTTTTTATTTATTTATTGTCCATGTGAGGTATGTAAGAGAGGTTGAAATCAGACAAAGGTCTAGGAAACATAAATTATTTGACTATAAATATTGAATGTAGGTCTATTATAATATTTCATTCTGTATACTGATTAAATGTTAAAAAATATTTTAGGTATACACAATAAATATCATTTTTTTTTTTTAATCTTGAAATATGAATGTTATGCTGTAATAATGTTTTTATTATTTAATTATTTTGTTGTATCTATATTCTATACTACACGTTTTGATTTTTTTTCAGTCATATTTCCCGACAAGCACAATATGAGCATCCATGTGCTCCACATTATATTTATCAACCTGAAGTGAGAATTCCATTGCCACTTCTACCTCCTCCTCCACCAAGACCTACACATTTCCATTCTCACAATATGCTTGTTCCTGCGAATCCTTACCTAAATCAAGGTAAAAATAATTTTTGTTAATGTGGTTGTGTTCTACTTTTCGTTTTAACTTTTTTTTTTATTTAAGAAATCCCTGTATGGCTCAGTGTTTATTCTCATGCAGCTCAAACATTAGACCATAAACTTAGATGGGAAATGTTTCGGTTACCAGAACTCGATTGTTTTAATGCTATGTTAACTCGGTTATATAAACAAGAATTAGAAGAGATTGTGATGCGTTATGAAGTTTACAGGTTTGTTACTATCATTTATTCTAGATTTAATTTTGATTATGTAAGTGAACTGTGAACTTAGATATGCTTGTATATGATAAAACTTGAAGTCAGCTCTTAAACTATTTTTGGACGCCTAATACTTCTCAGACAAAATTTAGTACGCGATAAACTGAGATCAATGGAACGATGGTTATTCTTTTTTAGATCTGCATTATTATATGAAATGGATAGAAGACATATGCAATCRCAGTATATTGATTCAAATGAATATAACCGTTATGGACCAGGGCTACGTATTATTGATGTAACTAATGATAATTTACGAGAAGTTGCACTTTCACAACATACAGAAACTAAAGTTTAATTATTAACTATTAAAATATATTTTTATATAATATCAATCAAGCTATTTTAAATTGTTTTTGTATACCATTGTTATTGTTAATTACTTAATGATACTATGAATTATATTTGCATATAATTAAGTTTGTTCTACAATAGGTTCTGTGATAATTTATTGACGTAATTATTATTATTGTAACTAAAACAAAAGGATATGGTTGAAATACTATCGCTATTATTTGTTATCCACTATCATTATAACTTATTTATTTTTTGAAGCAAGTGATAATATAATTTTTGTTAGATGTACTTACTCAATTGTTATTAATGTTGTGGAAGAATAAACTATTGCCTATTATATACTGAGGTGCACGTTTTTACACAAAAAATCGAACTTCTAGTACTTTTTTTTTCTATTATTTTGCAAAAAAAATATTTTTTGAATTGTAACCACAAAGTAAAATATTTTATTCCTTAGTTGTAACTGATACAGTGCCTATAATATGAAATCAACTGAAAAAGTAGATGATATTTATACTCCATTTAGAAATATAAAAGTGGGCTGCAACCAGTTTTCATCAACGGCAGTCATCAGATGCTTCTTTCACCAACACTGACCTGTGAGGATTCTTTTGATCAAAGTTGTACTCATGTGCGCAAGTCAGCTGTCAGATACGTTTCTTATATTGAATGGACTATCTATCATGTAAAGTGGGGGGTTATCTTTGCACACATACCATCAATGTTTTTTAAAAATTGGTGTCTCACCTAATTTACCAGGATAAAAATGTATATTGACATATTATTATGCTTTTCATGTATGTAAAATTAGACAATATTTAATTTAATTAGTTAATAGATAAGTCAAGATTCTAGTGGAGATAAGTTCTTAAAAGCTAAAGTATTTTTATGCTTGATGTATTAACTATTTATTTTATTGTCCCAGTCTTGGCATAATATGTAGACTGACTGTGATTATATAAAAACAAAGATGAATGGACAAAATTACAATTTTTGATTATTGAATTTGATTTAAATAAACAAATATTTAATTTTTCATACATATGAGTGAGCTTAATTAAATGCATTTAGTGTATTTTGTTTCAGTAACACAATGTTATTTTTATTAAGATTAAGATCAGTTGAAAGTTTATAAGACATCAATAATCGAGCCTTAGAGTTATAACTCTGAGGATTTATAAGTGACATTAGGTTTATTTTATGTCTTACAAAAATTATCCAACACTTTTTTGTTCATTAAAAAATAATAAAATATATTTACACATAGTTCAAAAACTGCATTTATCTTAATCGCATTTATGTATCATACATAATAATTAATACATTTAATAATCATTAAATGTTCAAAATAATATAATCCAGTAATAGCCTATGACTAGGAGGTAGGCCCTATAATCTAGTTAAAACTGTATACAAAGATTAAGATTTTTTTGTTATTTACATGGCTCAAAAATAATAAATAAATAACCATAATTGTTTCTTAAAATATTGATATTGGAATTTGAAGGCAATACAATTAAGAAATGAAATTACACAATTTAAGCAATCCAACGTGTTATGTGGTTATCATAACTTCATTATTAACAGAATTCATAGATATTGCTGATCCTTTCTCGGTTAATTCTTTTTTGAATGAGGATAGATTTTGAGTGAACCTATTAAATGTTATATAGGAGTTAATTTATTGAATTTAATATTTTTTTAGTAGATTTATATCTTAACTAAGTATGTATATATATACATACAGGGTTATTGATTTATCATAAGACACTCATTATTTCAAAAAGTATTCTTTTTTCAAAATATTTTTTACATGGTTTCAAATTGTTAAAAACCAACGTTTTTATTAAAAAATTATATTTTTAAATATTTTTTATCCTTATCATTTTTTTAGTTTTTTACTTTTTTGAATAATATAGAGTTTTTATTTCATATTCCAAAGCAGAATATTTTTCTAAGTATTTTGATACATAGAAATCGAATTTGGGGTTAGTAGTTTCTGAGTTATAAGTATTTAAAGTTTAGACAAGCGGAGTAGTGGACAAACATTTTGCGGGGTAACCCCGTACCACTCCATTCTTCCTATCAAAACTTTAAATACTTATCACTCATAAACTACTAGCCTCAAATTCGATTTCTATGTATCAAAATACTTAGAAAAATATTCTGCTTTGGAATATGAAATTAAAACTCTATGTTGTCATTCAAAAAAGTAAAAAACTTAAAAAATGATAAGGATAAAAAATATTTAAAAATATAATTTTTTAATAAAAACGTTGGTTTTTTAACAACTTGAAACCACGTAAAAAAATATTTTGAAAAAAGTCAATACTTTTTGAAATAATGAGTGTTTTATGACGAATCAAACACTCTGTATATATATATATTTATTTATTTACATACCTTTCTCGATTTCTGCTTGCTAAATTCCTTTCAACTCCTTCCATTAACATTTCAAACCATTGAGCCATTGCTGATTGTTTATCAATTGGTTGGCTTTGCAAGATAACATCCCTTAGTTGATTAAAATACTAAACAAAATGTAAGTGATGTTATATAAGTGAGCTTTTACTTTATTTTAGATTATAGTTTAAGTAATCAATAATACCTCTTCATTAAGTAGTATGAGCCCAAGAAGAGGTCTGGACATTGACCATTGATTTCTACATTCTTCAAAAATGATTATGTTGAGTACAGTCTGTAAGATTTGTCTAAACACACCTAAATGTGTTTCTAGAGTACGTAAAAAAATTTCATTTACTTGTTGCATGCGACGCCTCACTTTTTTACCTAAAGAAAATCAAAATATTAAATTTATAACAACTTTTCAGTTATTAGAAAATTCTAACACAAGGTGGATGTAAGAAAAAAAAATTGAGTATATTTAAGAACAACTGATATATAATAATTATGACTATGATTTTTTCTAAGGTTTTTATATTTATAGATTTTTTACTTTCTTTATTTAAGTTAAACACTTAAAAAAAAACTAATATTAAGGTCAAAACAAAATAATTAAAGACGTAATTGTCATCAGTGGGTAGCTTCTTCATTCAAAATTTCATTATATTGTCATTGTCATTAGCTCATACTCTTATTATGCTGATTGTGTATAGATTGTGTATTTATTAATAAAGTAAAAAAAAAAAGTTAACCTAACCTAACACTTACCTTTTAATAATAATTGTTTAAACACATAAGTAACAATATGATCGAGAGTAGTGCAACATCCTGTGCATATAGACATATCTAAAAAAATATTAGTGTTAATAAAGGGTAGCAACTGAATAAGTAAGATTAACAACAAACAATAACAATACATTCTAACTATATATTTAATATGATAAACAATTATTAATTTAAACTTATGAACCTCAAAAATCTTTATTATTTCTCTTTCTTGGTTATGTTACATCCTTAACGTATCTAAAATCATTGTAGTATAATGTGACTCTTTATTTTAATAACCAAATGTATTATTGGAAGTGATTTCATTCACACTCAGTGGCGGCGCCAGAATTTTAATACCAGGTGGGCCAGGCTGGGGCCCAAATATTTTAGGGAGGGCCAAATTGTTGACTTGGTATTTATATATACATATATATATATATAATATAAACAATAGTGATGACAGGCAATTGCGCAGAAGGGGGAGGGGGAGGGTCAACTTCCAATTTTTCAATTTTTTTTACACTTCATTGTGTTAACTTACTAAAACAATGATTTGTAAACATGTATTAATAGTATTTATTTCCTAACAAAATATATATTCATGTAAAAGTATATWAAAATAGAATGCTTTCCTTTGTATTTTCTTTATCATAGGTAGTTGGTTAATAATCTAATCCCGTTGTTCATGGAATTTTCAACAAAATTATTAATAACCTTGATTAATATTTAATAATAACTAGTAAGTATAACTTATTATTTTCGTATTCAGCCGCTGGAAAATACACATTATTTATGAGGCTTGAAAGCATAGTGCATAGTTTTTAACCMATTCAAAATGTTGTTCACGCCATCTATTATGACTTCATATTTCCATATTTTGATTTATTCATGAGATATTTTTTAGTGTTCTAGTATGATTAAATTTAATTTTTGGGGTGGGCCCGGGCCCACCCCTGGCGCCGCCACTGTTCACACTATTCCGCCTAGGAGTTTTCTCTTGCTGCTGGCCATAGTAAAATGATGTAGATTGTACAATATTATCAACTCTTTAGAACTTGACATCCTAAAAACAGGAGCACACGTGCAGACACTCACCAAGGTAAGCCTAACTACCTAAATTCAACCATGTTTTTTTTCAGCTTTCTAAATTTAGTCTTCAATTTAATCCAACTTGGTTGTAGAGACCACTTTTCTATAATTACTTCAAGCTCGAACAGTAATACTGCTACTAACTTTCCTAGCACACCATGACAGTAATCTACTTGAACCATAGATTAAATACAATAAATGAATCTCTATCCTGATAATTTTATCCGATATATTAGCGACAAGCCTTTGTATAAAATTAATAAACTGTGCATGAGTGAAAAGAAATGTAGCATATTTATCTATTTGAATTGATATACATCATAAAATATAAACCAATCAGCAGTCAACCGATAAATATGCAACAGTTCAATTCATGCATGCGCACATAAAGCATATAACACAGTAACTTGTCACTTATATGTATGGAAAATTGTTTACACAGCCAAGATGAGCATGACTCTAATCAAAATATATTATGATCTAATACTTACTCCCATGACATGACGTTAAATATGTAMTTACCAAGCTATTAAAATGCATTGCATACTGGTCAAATACAGGATTTGCAGTGTTTATTATAATTTTATTAGCTTTTAAAACATATATCTTGTATACCAATACTTACTAAAATATTTATCTCATAATATAGGAAATATATCTTTTTACAATATATAACTCACCTAATGCATTCAGTCCTTCAGATATTGATGAAAGTATGTACAAAAATACTTGAGGTTCTAAAGTTGATAAAAACTCCATATGATCTTGAGCAAGGCACTCAAGTAATCCATAATATGTTTGTGATAATTTAGGATAATGCTAAAAATAAATTAAAATTAACAAATTATATTACAATTAGTCACCCATTACTAAAGTATGAGAAATATTTTGACATATAGGTTATTGCATAACTTTGATAGGATGATTTTAGATATGCAATGTGATTCAATTGTATATAGCATATTATAGGCTGATTAATATAAGTTTTAATATTATAATAATATTTAATAACATGAAATAAATAATATTAGATAGATAAAGTGAAGAAAAAACTTAAAAAGTATCTGTACTATTTTAAGAGTTAATTTTTTTCATAGGGTTATAACTTATATGGTAGACATGAATAAATAAATATTAGTGAATCAAGAAAATCATTAAATTTAGAGGGATTATATAAAATACCATAATACATAACCTAACCATGTTCCTACACAAATTGATGATAATCTTAAAATATGTAACACTAAATAAAAAAGTTCATAAGTGAATTCAAGGTACCTATATACACAATTTATGTAGTATAATAACAATAAGTTAAATAACTATAACTTTCAAAATCTTTGTTGTCAAAGAAAAATATATGTATTGAATGATAAAAAATAATATTTTTGAATTTATGTTGTAATTACTTATCTCCAATTTTTATTGTTAAATTAAATCATATCCCAAATTAGAATAATTTTCTGAGAATTTTAATGTATTAAAAAGTGGGTACCGTTAAACTATTTATATTTATGTAATACATCAGTTAGTGGACAAACAGGAAATAAGAAAAAAAAGTTAACTTTCATAAATTTTATTATGTGAAGCTTTTAATTTTTAAATTCTTAACTCAAAAGATAATTTAATTGGTAAATAGCTTTATCATTGGATTTGATATYTATAATATTATAAAATCAATTAAGACAAGTAAAAATCACAATTCCACC